AATTAAATGTCATTTCATTTACCAATTATTCACATCTTGTGAGAGCTCTTCGTCGACACGACAGCCAAATGGTTTGGTTTCGACACTTGTATTGTCTGTTCTCTCGATATATGTTTGTCAACCATTTGAACGCCATTTGAATCATTTGTTCAGACATACAATCAATCACTTAATTGTCATTAAATGGTCTCTAAATTAATTTAATCATATCCTAAGTCAACAAAATGTGATTTTAATGCAAACCCAGAAAAATCTGTCATAACTTTTACTTTAATTCGTATATAAAATGTATTATTTTTACAATTATTTGATATTTTATGAATAAAACTAAATATTTATATAAATTAACTTTTAATTCAATTACAATTGAATTATTAAAAGTAATGGATAAATAAAGACAATCATGTTTAATGACGATGATCAATTTAAATCAAATCCGAGTATTAAAGCATAAACATTAAGGTAAATAAAAGCTGTTAAACATACAAATATTATGCAATATATTAACAGCGATACATGTGTTATGTAATCATAAATGTGCTATAATTTGAGTGAATCATGAATTTAATCATAATTTATAAGTTGTAATTAGATATGAAATTCAATGACAAAATAATGTGTAAATTACTGTACAGTGAAGTGATTGAGACTAATAGCGAACCCTATGTTTGTGTATAGAAAGCATTCAGTGGTGTCTCACATGTTGTGTGTGTTTTGATGATCACATCAATCAATGGTTTAATCATTGCTTCAATACAAACACCTCCTCATCACTGATGTCTTCGGTGTCCGCCCTTTACAGACGATATCTATTAGTTTGCAATCAATGGTCTATCGATACGACCAAAAGTGGTCGCGATTTTGGCACTCATTTACGACAACTCATCCCAAAGCTGTTCCCGAACTCCGAGTTGACACAAATCAAGACAAATGAATTGAAATCATTGGACCAACGGATCCAGTCGTTGGAGAGACTCAACAAAAACCTATACTTCAAGCCGTCGTTTCAGTCCTCGTCGGCCAGCGGTCTAACCGTCGATGAATGCAAACAAAGCATATCCACCGATAATCTGAAGCAATTGGCCATTGATTACGATTTGTCCACTTTTGATCGCATCAAACTCACCTTCGGATCCATTAGATTTACTAACAAATCTCAAGACCAAGACTTACGCAACGATAAACACATCCAAAAGGACCGCAAATCAAACTAACA